CTGTATCCCCGCATCTCTCCCGAGAAAATCCTCGTCTATTCTTTTATCGGAATGCGCTTATATAAACCACACGTTATATTACAGCAACAAATAGTGTTCATCGGGCTTCGATATATTTATATCGGCGTAGCTCTTCTTATTGGTGCGTGTAATATTTATGTAATTCAATTAATCGTCTCGCATCCCTTGATTACTCGGCTTGGTCGTTTATACACGATCTTTTCCATTGCATTGTCATTTACGGCCGATTGTCTTGGGACACCCTATATATATGCATACACATCGCTGTGCGCGTGTAGCTGCAATCTCTTAGAAGACGCGGGACATTATTTTTCGGACCTGCGGCCCACGACGCGAGCGACGATGGTACCCCGCGCGAACCCCGTGCGTGGGCCGTACCCCGTCGAAATATTATCGCTCTTTCTCCCCCTCTTGCCCCCCGGGTTCGCGATTGTCCGCGCCATTGTTTTAGGGGAGTGTAAAGCCAATGATATATCGCCGCTGAAGCGTGTTCCAGAATATTAATGTCGTCTATTACACGCTCTCCCTAGACGCTCGCGCGGGCTTTTACGACTCTTCGCTCGATCGCGGTAATACTTGGGAACGGACGCTTACGATACCTCGATGGAACGAGCTTTTTCCGATACTGACGAGACTAATATTTTCTTTTCACCTCGAATTATATCTCAAATAATATTTTCAATGTAACTTTTACTTAGTTTAACGCGCTAGCACGTACAACTAAATGAATTTGATTATGCATCCTCTAGAAATTTCCAGATAATGCACGCTATTGATACATCTTAAGCGGGTGCGTCGCGTCGCCGACAACCCCGGCAAGTATTCACCTGAGTCACGCTCGGACAGGTCCTCCGAGCTGCACCAAGTCACCGTACAGGTTGTCGTGGCTTACCGCGTAAAATCGTGGTCGGCCGAATGCAATCGAGAAAGACTGTCGTTTGGTCCTGACGATAGAAGCTGCGGGATATAATAGAAGAATTTATTTCATCTCAAGTTGCGCCAAGCGTCAAACTTGGCTTATCCAGGAGGCTTTATCCAATTATACGTGAATATCAACGTAATGTTTAATTTTATACAAGGTGTCTTTTTATCGAAAACATTCTATAAATTTTCGTCGTTTCCAATATCATGAAACCATGTGAAAATTAATTAAATTTTATATATAAGATATACGCAGATATATAGCGAGTTGCATAGAATCGACCGGATGCGAGCGAATCGCGCTGATGATTTCGCGGAGGATTTTTATCAATGAATCTCTCGCAAGGATAAACACGGAAAACGATGCGAGCCGTGGAGACGCTATTGGAATCTACGCTCGCGACAGTCGCCCGTTTCGAATTACAGATTGGTGAGCCCTTCCCCGGCATCCCATCCCGCCGGCCTCGGCTTCTGTCTTTGACGGTACCGTTCCATCATCTCGCTCGGTTGACTCACAAATGCCGCCATTAAGCGAGGAAATCCAAGGGCTGCTCCGCGCCCACGAACGCGGGTCATCCTGCACCGAATTTGTATAATCGGCGTAACAAATCTCTAGGATTTAGGGATCCCACGTTGTATGTGGCGTCGACGAACCGTCGAAACGAAATATCCGTGCTCTTGCGACGTAATCGATAAAGAGTTTTGGAGCACCAAACTTTGTTTAAGCGATGATGTCAGCATTCTCTCTGAAAAAAGAAAAAAAGATGTAAATCCGTTTTTTTTTAATACGATATTATAAGTATAAAACTATTCTGACAATTCTCTATTTTATATAACTTGATAGAAACCTGGGTCTACGACACTTCCCGCAATTGGAAGCGGCGCAGTCGATGGAGGCGTTCGACGCGAGTGCCTCCGAGATTTGTACCGGCTTGAGAGGATTATCTCAGGGCCAGGGAAAGCTCTGCCAACTATCCGTGGATCACATGTCCAGTGTGACCAAGGGTGCGAAATACGGCATCGCGGAGTGTCAGCATCAGTTCAGAGACAGAAGATGGAATTGCTCCACCATCCACGACGAGACTGTGTTCGGTCCGATGCTCAGAATAGGTTTGATTCGATTATTCCTTCGGGAATTTTATAGTCAGCGTAGAAAATATTTATTTTTTGAATTAAATTTGTATATTAACATATTGCATATTTGTTTGTTTGCAGCGAGCAGGGAAACTGCGTTTGTTCACGCCATCACCGCCGCCGGGGTGGTTTACTCCATCAGTCGTTCTTGCCGAGATGGTCAACTGTCGTCTTGCGGCTGTTCCAGGAGTAGCAGGCCTAGAGATCTGAATCGCGATTGGATCTGGGGCGGATGTGGGGATAATCTTGAGTACGGCTACAAGTAAGTGCACGTATTCGATGAATAATAATTCACCGAATAGATATAAAAATCAAACATAACTAAATATAATATATAATTATTGTCATTATATTATTTATATAACTTTTCTTCAGCCATTGTTTTAATTCACCTTTAACCTTTTTTGCGGAGTACTTGTATAGTATTAAAAGTAAACGACGAATCTGTTGTCCACGTGTTTCAGATTCACGCAAGCATTTGTTGACGTGCGGGAGCGCGAACGTAGTTTCAAGAGAGGCAGCCGAGAGCAGGGCAGAAGCTTGATGAATCTACATAATAATGAGGCCGGTCGCAGGGTAAAGTTCGTTCTTTTCTTAGCCTGCACGTGTGAGAAATGTCTTTTAAATGTCGCATCGTTAAACGCGCGAAGGCGCTCTTATCGATTTTTCACAATTCAACACGAATTCGCTTAAATAAAGCCGCCGTGTCGCGAAACTAATAAATCGTTCATCCGCAGGCCGTCATTAAAAGGTCCAAGGTGACATGTAAATGTCACGGCGTTTCCGGAAGCTGCAGTCTGATTACTTGCTGGCAGCAACTCGCATCGTTTCGCGAAATCGGTAGGTGTCGATGCGATAACATCTCCTATCACGATCTACGGAGCAATGTCTTTTGTGATCATAAAAATATTTAAAAGACCGTCCAATATAATGTCATGCATTGTCGCGAACATTTCAAATAACAATATTATTTAGAACGTTTTTTTTTTTATATCTGTGTAAATAGCGTTATAATTTTTGATATTTTCAGGTGATTTTCTGCTGGACAAGTATGACGGTGCGACTGAAGTCAAAGTCAATCGACGGGGTCGCTTGTCGATGCGCGATCCGAGATTTTCCGTGCCTACTGCCAATGATCTGGTCTATCTGGATGACTCGCCAAACTATTGCCTTCCGAATGATACTTTAGGATCGCTAGGTAATGCTATCTTTTTCTTCCTCGTGGATGTTGTATCTTTTATCAAATTTCTTTGTTCAGTTGGAGTCGAGAAGAAATATTTTTAAAGATTATTTTCTGGATGATGCTCTTTTCATAATTATTTAAAATTATTTTATAACAGGCACGCAGGGCAGGCTATGTAACAGAACTTCCTCTGGCATGGATGGTTGTAATTTACTTTGCTGCGGCAGAGGATACAATACGCAAAAGTCGACCATCAGAGAGAGATGCGAGTGCAAATTTCACTGGTGTTGCTTCGTCGAATGCAAGACTTGCGTGAAAAATATCGATATCCACACTTGCAAGTAGAGCGCTACTATTTATTCTATTTTTTTTTATGACTCCTTTTTTGACTTATCTTCGCATTATCGAAGGTATATATACGTGTAATTAACGGTGTCATATTCTGATAACAGTGGCATTATTGTTTCACAGTCAATGAGAGAGAAAATTATTGTATGATATATTATACTTTCTTTAAAAGTACTTTCTCTCTACTACACACACGCGCGCGCGCCCACACACACACACACATACATACTTGATATATACATATATATATCTCCATCCATCGCAGAATAAAGATATTCCTTCTTTCGTGAATGTGTATGGATATCTATGCAATATTATTACTGCAAGTTTCCGAAAAATCAAAAAATCAAATTTTTATCAAAATATTAGTTTATTTATATTATTAATTTGTCTCATTGTTGTAATTGCGGCCTATAAAAAAATTTAAGCAAATGTCAAAGAACTTGACTTTTAATTGTGTGTTTATAAGAATTGAGTGCAAACGATTTACTATCAAATTGACAGCAATTTGTTTGAATGAAGATAAATGGAAGGTCGTATATAAATTTAAATTGCATTAAAATGCATTGATTATCACACACATCTAATTAAACAATTTTAGATATACACAATTTAACGATAGCGGATCGAAACGTGTATCTCATATTGCTTTATTCTGTTTCTTTTTAATGTAGATGAATATATATTAGCGATCCAATTATATGTCACGCAATACATGAATAAATTCTCTTCCAACTTCGTTTTTATCACTTTAGAAAGTAGTTATAAATTATTTAAAGTGTTTATTGCGTTTTTATTTATTTGTTCCGAGCAAGCAATTTAACTTAATGATCCGCGAAATAGTGCGCATAAATGAGTAATGTGTATTGCGGATTTTGATAGGTACTTAAAAATACTGTAACTAGAATCATGTCTTAATATAGAATATATCGTTATTACAAATATCTGTAGCGACAGAAAAAATATTCCAGACACAGTTGAAGAAAAAAAATCCAAAATTATTTTTCTAATTAACATATACAGAATGACATGGGAATAGCTCTGATGATTATATATGTATTATGTGTGTATTCATATAACATAATACTTAAGTTATGTATTATATACTATACACATATATGTATATCACCATAAACTAATATTTATCAAATTTACATTCAGTCTCTTGATAAATCTAATAAATTCTCAGAATTGTTTCTATATCAATCTGTATATGTACATGTATCTAACTTAAATTAAATTTTCTATTGTATAGTCATTATGATAAGTAAAATGTAATAACATTCCATTTATATTATAAATCTTATTATCATATGACGCAATGTGTACTTGCCTTGGATAATGATATGACACTTATAAGTCAAATAGCATTATATTTTTAGATTAGATGTTTATTTAATAGTGATATAATTATTTATTTCTATCTCTTATAATGAGATATCATAGTGTACAAAACTTGGCATTTTGCAGTGGTAAATACTACAATAATATACATACAGTTCACACCAAGTTTAATTTCATTTACCTCTCACAAGAAGCATCGTTAGAACCATATCATTTATATAGTGCACACTTTATTCCTTGTATTTATTTACATTATTGTGTAGAAAAAAGATGGTATGTGTATTATTCATGGATCTCCCATGGCTTTTCTGGTCGATATCTATCCCAAGGATTTGGATACTTATATACTGATGGTTCAGTCAGACGGATTCCATTATCCCTTAACTGTTTAATTAATAATTTAGATTTTTCTCCAGTTAACTCAGCATCAACTTTCATTTCGCAAATCCCAGCCTCCAAACAACGCTGAGCTAACACGCGTCCCACATTAATATAAGCCGAACCATCGATACCCCTAAGAACATTCATATTATGTCACTAATTATTTGATTGACCTAACTGTTTAAGAAGAATAATAATAAAACAAAATTTAAATCCAAGTAAATATCTGTACCGATATAACTGCTTCTTTAATGCCCATTCCATGCTAGAGGCTGTAATGACCGGTCCATTTTCAAAGTGGCGGACTTCTGCAGTAATGTAACGAGGTTTCTTAATCAGATACAGTCTATAAATCGAATAAAGAATTATAATTTTGAATTATAAATTGAAATAATCAGAAGATTATATATATATTTATGGTGTACGATGTGTGTGTGTATAAGTGGCGGACTTCTGCAGTAATGTAACGAGGTTTCTTAATCAGATACAGTCTATAAATCGAATAAAGAATTATAATTTTGAATTATAAATTGAAATAATCAGAAGATTATATATGTATTTATGGTGTACGATGTATGTGTGTATATATATATAGCAAGGGAGTTAAGAAGCATGTCTTACTTATGCCAATACGTTCGCCCGGGTATCTCGAGATGATACCCTTGAGGTTTCCTTGCTATCCTCAGTCGCTCTAAATTTCGCGGATTTCGGTTCTCAATCTTCGTACATAATTCGATCAATTCCGCATTACTGTGCATCTCTCTGCGTGATTCCACGCGGAGTAACACGCGTGCAATGCCGGCACGTACGTTTGCCGAGTACATTGTCGCTTCTTTTATAATTTTGCAATTATCGTTGCTGCATAAATGTCACATCACATGGACCTGATGGACCATGGCCACATGCCCATTCACATGCGGGCTAAATTTCTCGCGCAAGCGCAGTATCAATAAAGTATCTAGTACCAGAGAGAAACCTGGAGAAACCCTCTCTTAACAAAAAGATATGTTACACCGTGTTATATATATGTGAAATATTAAAAATGCAATGCTTCTAATAAAAAAAAAAAAAAAAAAAAAAAAAAAAAATAGATGGTAATAATACATAGTTTTAGATCTTTTGACCATTATTTAATATAACCATCTAAGAGGTCGCTACAAACGTTATGATATGCTTGCCATATATATGAGTTTAATGGTGGTAGAATGAGAGAAAGTAGATATTTTAATTGATAGAAGACGAGGAAATAATTCTCTGATTATTTGCAAAGTACTAGCGCAAATTCCAAATGAGTACCGTCGAGTATGGTTTCCCGACGATTGGCGGATTAATGCCGGTAAGCAAAGTAAACGAATCTACATATATATGATATGGAACTTTCTCCTATAAGAGATGGAGAGAAAATGTGCACAGTTTAATTCTGCAATCTCTTCAGCCTCTGTTTCTGAAAGAAATCTCATTCCTTCTAAACTTAATTATCTTTCCATTAGCAAATACAAGCTCTCATAGCACCACCAGTATCTGAAGATTCCAAGGCAGCTAAAACAAAGAAGGAAAAGGAAGAGAAGAAGCATCCGTACTTCAAGAGAAGAGGTCGCGGTCACAATCGTGATTTCTGCGATGCTTGTAGAGATGGCGGAGAGCTCATATGTTGCGACAAATGTCCAGCCTCCTATCATTTACAATGCCAGTAAGTGCGCTTATGATATGACTGTCATATATGACTTGTGTGGTACGACTATACTCAAACTGTTTCACAGTTGATTTAGTAACATTTATCATAAAATATTGTATTCTTTTATAAAAGAACACAGTTTTAAAACTTTCCTTTTAGCTATCCTGCAGTGGATCCTACAGATATTCCTAATGGAGAATGGTTGTGTTACGCATGCCGTTGTGCTTCTAAAAGAGAACTTTTGGATAGCAAAGGAAATGAAAAAAAGAAAAAATCTGCATTGGAAGTACTAGCATTGGCAGCTTCTCTAGTAAACCCAAGAGAATTTGAGTTACCCAAGGAGTTGCAATTGCCTATAATGTTCCCTGGAAGTAATAAAATGGATTATGTATCTGGCAGAAGAGGTAAACAGTTTAGTTCGTCGTACAATAATGGTAAGCGGATTAAGATTATGACATGTTATTTTGTCTTTTTCTGTAAGAAAAATATGTATACTTTGAAATATCAGTTGTTATAATTGTTTTAGATTAATCAATATATAAGAAATATCAATATATGATATTCTTTTCCAGTTGGAAAAAGTCATTGCTTGGATAGCAACTTAATGGTTCCACTGCCAGCCCGTCTATGTTTTGAATGTGGACGTAGTTGTAGGAAGGCTCCACTAATCGCATGTGACTATTGTCCATTATATTTCCATCAGGATTGTTTGGATCCCCCACTAACTGCTTTGCCTATTGGCAGATGGATGTGTCCCAATCATCCAAATCATTTCATAGATCAGAATCTGTTGACTTCTTGCAGAGTGACAGAACGCATAAAACTCTGGGACAAATATGCCAATCAACCAATAGATCAGCATGCAGTGAAACTAGACTTTTTGCGTAAAGCACGCACTGCCAATCCATTATTTCGCACAAAGGTGAGACTAGAAGGTCGTCCGAGAATAAAAGTTCCTTGCAGTGTAAAGTTCCATTATGAGAATCCGCCGCAATTAGATCCTGTACAGTTTTCTCAAGACAATCTTATATGGCCTGTAAAAAATACTGTAGACAGAGATGAGCAATGTAGAAATTCTGAAAAGGCAGATAATAGCAATGATAATTGTATAGAAAGTGAAAAAATGGAAGAAACTATCAAAGTGAAAGAAGAAAAAGAGGGACATGAAACAGCTTTGGATGAGGAATGCGATCGACAAGAAGTGTTAGATGCAAACGAATATACGAACATAGCAGACAAAATCGCGATAGATAGTTCCAAGGAATGTAATAATCTTGAATTTCATTCAAGATATTGTGGTTATAATATTAAAGAAGGCATCCAGTTATTAGAAAGACCAGTGTTGGAAGCATTAGCACGACAGAGATTAGAACAGATATTAAATCCAGATGGAGAGAGTTATGAAACAATAAATTGTCATAGAAGAGCAAGAGCCGTATTATTTTCTTTAAGCCCTAAGCCTAATCCACCAGCTTTCATAACTCATAAAACCTTTGTTATTGGCAATGGCCCCAATTGTGACTTAGTTTTATCCAATTATGGTAATTGTGGATTTACATCCTCCAAACATGCAATTATATTTTTCGACGAGGTAAGAACGAACATAATATATTTTTCTTTAAGAGCATTATTTCAGATCATATTTTTGAAGAAAAAAAATAGCATAAAAAATATGTTTTTTCTTTTCTTCTCATTAGTATTTTTTGTTACAGGCGACTAAGCATTTTGAGTTACTCAATTACAGCGAATATGGAACAATAGTGGACAACGTGCTGTATTCCTGTGATTATACTCGCGGTTTAGAAGAGCAAGTAAAAGAGGAAAAACCTAATAAAATAACAAATGTCACTAAGGAGGAAGAAACCTCTGAAATAATAAAGACAATTCTACACAAGAAGGAAACAACTTGCTTGCAAGAACATGCACACAAGAATGACAAGCTCTTGTGCAAATGTAATGCAAAATATGATACAAGAATTGCCGAGCATTTAGAGGAGGGATGGGAGGGAAGTGCAATTATCGCGCACGGCTCGACCATTACTTTTGGTTGCCTCATGTTTGTATTCAATACATTAAATTTATATGTAGACAGATAAAATATTTCCAAATTGTAAATATCTTCTATTGTACAAACAATTTTATATCAATACAAAGTAAATTATAAATATACACGAATAAAGAATTGTTTGTAGCACATTTTTCTTTTTAATAATCTGCTAAATATACGACATATATTCCAGATATATATAGAGAATTATGTACACAGAATTATATAAAAGTTTTTCTTATAAGATAATTTTTTAAGATTCATCCATTTCGTTATCAGGTTCATCAAAGTCTCTTACTTTTACATCTGTATCTTCACCATATTGTATAGTGTTGTCAATAATTAATTTAATATCCGCAATATTTTCTTCATCCTTAATATTTAATGGCAAGAAACGCACTAAACTATAATCTGTTATAATTCTACCAATACTTTCTGTAAGACTGCGATACCTATTGTTCCATGGATCTTCTTCCGCATCTGTCAATAAACTGTGTGGATCAGGCTCTATATAGTTGTCCAATCTTTTCTGCGCGCTCTTTGATAGCAAGTCCATTTTACTAAGAACATTAACATGTGGAATTTCTAAGTTTATCATTGCACTAAGAGCAGCCAGAGTACCAGATAGAAACTTTGGTGCATCAATCATGAATTGGACATCCATCAGAAATACTCCACATATATGAAAGTTAAGATTTTGCAGCATGGTTATCAGTTGTCGCATTACAGTCATATGAGTATACAATTCAATTTGTCCTGGACAGTCAAATATTATATAATCATCATCTACATCACCCAATTCCTCTGTCAGCCAGGTTGCATTTTCAACTAAATATCTATATAAAAAACAATTTTCTTATATAAAACTACAATTAAACAATTGATCCATCCAAGAGAGATGTAACTTACTCCATGCAGAATACAAGCCCACCGTTAGGTCCAAAGTTAAATTCAGCCTCCATGGCATCATCCAACTGAATTAATTCTCTTATATCTGCCAAGGGTTTGTAATCAAAATATTCTGCTGCAGGATCTAAATTTACAACATCTATTGTTTTCCTCGAATCAATGGCATGTTGTTGCATAATTGAACAGTAAGTAGACTGTTAAAAATTAAATTAAGATATTAACAGTTATTCCGTTAAACATATATATATATATTACTATTCAATTAAAACTTGGTAAGGGATGGATATATTACCTTGCCGGAACCGGCCGGTCCCATTACTAATTGAGCGTATCTCATTTTAATAAGAAATGTTATATGTATGTGCAAATAAACGAAAAAAATCCAATTTCGTATACCTGAGAAATACGTGTTCGCGGAAATTGTTTAGTTTATAAAATGCAGAAATAAAGATTAAAGAAAATTATTGTCTTTTTCTCTTTCACATGAAAAATACAACTGCGTTATTTGTAAACAAAATCCCACGCGCTAATATCGCCACGACGATCATGACTACGACGCAAAAATATCTACCAACCTAAAAGCCGTATTATACTACAGATTACGGGCTTGGTTTCTGATTGACCAATCAGAGCAAAGCAGCTTGCCGGCTGATTGGTTAATCCGCAACCGTCAACTGTAACCCCAATCGCAACCGACCCCCAAATCCGTAACATCACTAAAAACAGTATACTCTCCTACTCCTACAGCCTTGTTACTGCCATTGTAGACGGGCCTTAATACGGCCTTAATGCGATCTTAATTTGCCGGCAGCAGCGAACGTTTTACTTCTACTTCAATAATATGAAGTGGGGAGAAATTTAGCGACTCTAATCAACAGAGCCGCGTTTGAAAATATCACACGTATGCTGGTCGTTGAGGTAACAGGTTGAAAGTGAATATCGTGAGATTACAGTACCTTATTAATTTGCGATCGTTATTTACGATTTTATATCTTCGGAATTAGGTAAGCTCCTTTATATATCATAATGTGAGTGTTTTTATTTAAAGCGGTGTCTACAATGAGAATTTAAGCCTTAAGCCGTAAGAAATTTAACCAATCATATTTGATTATTCTTCTCACATTCAACTGTGATTGATCAATTTCTTACGGCTTAAGGCTTGCTACACCTATTGTAGACACCGCTTGAAAATTTGAACGTCGAAGCAAGTGTTTATTTTATTATAATATGCTTGTTATGGAAATAATATTTTGGCGAAGGTTTTTATAATTGAGAAGAGAAAAAGAAGAGAGGACAAGACCGTCATATACAAATGTTAATAATGTTACGTATAATTTCCCATTCACACTCATATATACATCATACATTAAAAATGCAATCGAATTAAAAGAATAACACGAATAATGATAAAGTTTGCGAACGATTCTAATAGGGAACAGGCAACGTGTACTTTTATCATTACAGTTCACATTTGAAAAGTAACGTCACATTCGACCTTGTATACGTATATGTATATAATTTTCAATATATATTTCGATTGTTCTTCAATAGGTTGAAGATTTATAAGACTTTTATTGAAAAAATAAAAATTTTAATATCCAAATGAAAAATGCTTGTCTCGATGAAAGCTGCTCTTTTCAGTATTTTTTCAAATCTAACATTCGAATAGTTCTTCATTTTTCCTTCGTGATCGTATGAATAGAAAAAATTAAAAAACGCGTACATATATACACGATATATTAAACCCGTTTCAAAATTGCATATAAAAACTCGAATTTTGAACAAGAATGTTAAAAAAAAAAATAGAAAATCTTAAAGAACTTTGTTTTACAAGATTTAAATATAGACATTCTGAATAAACGGTGAAATAACGATACTATGAAAAAAAAATATAGACCATGAGATATATTTATTCAACGAGCGAAGCTTGTTTGTAGCCGGATATCGCGCATATGAAAGAGAAAACTTCATTTCCGTTTTCGGTCGCGCGCAATTTCGATATATTATACATTATACGAAAGAGAAATGCAGTTTTTCTTATGCGCACTCCTTTAGAGAGTTGCGACAATTTTTTTAATGGTATTCTTATTTAATTTTTAGAAAAAGAGATTGTGGGACAAACTTATACAAAATGGAAGGAGACAATAACAACCCTTTGGATATCAGTAGTTTGTCGGAGCTCGGTCATGTCAATGAACGTATCATTGAAGGTAATTATACTTTCTATCCACCGATTAGATTTATACACATCTTCTATGATCTGCACTTTTTTTGGAAATTGTTATCCTGTATTTGAAATTGCATATAGTTGAGTAGGATATTTTTTTTATGTTTTCATCAAGAATATATATATATATATAGGAAAAAAATTAGAAGAAAATATTATACTATATATAGGAAGAAAAAATAAAAAGATAAATGACAGCGGTTATAGCGTAACAGTGAGATCTCATTATTATTCTATAATCGCTATTATTTATCTTTCTAATTTTTTTCCTACCTATCTTTTTCAGCACCACAAGAGGAACCAAATGTATTAGTATGTGGACGCTGTGATACCGTTTTTCAATTGATCAAGGAGTTTCAAGAACATCGTGCAGAAGAGGTAGCACGTAATGTAGAAGAGGTGGAACAATTAGATATATTAATATGCGGACGCTGTGGTCTTGTTTTTAATTTTACCGAGGAGTTTCAAGAACATTGTGCAAAAGAGGTAGCTTGCTCCATATTTTCGTAAAAATAACGACGTTTTATTTTCATGTTTAGAATTTTCTTAACTGTACCAAAATTTTTTGTAAAATTAATATAAAACCTTTGTAGATGAGACGAATAGGGCCTCTGAAATTCTTATTATGGAAACATTCCCATAAACACATTCTTCCACATGATATTTGGAACAAAGAGGCTGAAGATTGGAGACTCTACAGTAGATGGTGCAAATGGTCTGAAATAAATACAAATGTAACAGATGCATTGATTACAGTGGAAGAGACATAGGTAATATAACGTACTCATTCTCTCTATTCCAAGCTATAAGATTCAGAGAGAAATCTTTAATTCGTGCGGAAAAAAATATGGAATTCGTTTGGTTCAGTAGTCAAAATATGTAAAACTGAATGGGAGGTAGATAATCTTAAGATCGAGTCCCGTTGAGCACCGTTATTTTCTGCACTTTGGCTACTGATTATGAGTGAAACGAACCCCATACTTTTCTCCACTCATATTAAAGATGTCTCTCTGAATGTTACAAAGCAAATACTAGTTGTTTCCGACAATATTTATCCATTGTCTGTCCTCTTTATAATTATTTGATTATTCACAGGGGAAACTAGGAGAGTAGTACTGCTCTTATCAGATGGAAATTTTATGATGACTGACGCGAACGAATTTTGAACGAAATATTATTATAAATAAATAATATATAAGTAATAAATAAGTAATGATAAAGATAAAATAAAGATGTAAATATAAAATCGAAGAGAGAAGAATATCGACGTTGAATATAAAAAATTTTTGATCTGGAAAGATATCATGTCTTTTAAAGTCTCCTAGCGATTCCTTTTTCTCAAACTCTTCCTATATCATAATTTATCGCGAGATAAATAAATAAATTCCCCTCTCTTGCCGATATCGGCAGCTAATGCTCTGTCTATGTATTTTATATCTATGGGAATAATACAAGCAAAAAGGTAAAATTTCAAAAAAATAACTGGAGAAAATATACACACTAATAAAATTTCGAGGTTTATATCATGAAAATTTAATTTACTATGCAAACATTTATAACATTTTATCATTCTAAAATGATATTATTAGTGATTTCATTAATAAATTTATTTATTGGTATATGGTAGATTTAACTATACTATTGATATCCAATTTCGTACTATTAAATATTATTAAATATCAATCATCAATATACGTAAATAAAACAAATGTCATAATATTATAATATGCATAGAGGAACAAATTTTTTTATATTTATTGAATGTTTTCAATATTGTCATTATCATTTGTTATCATTGTTTCTCGTTCCATCACCATCTTCTCTAAACTGTAGGGCAAGTTTACTCCGATTAATCCAGATAGCATACTCTTCTTAGGTATACCAGCATCTTTTCTCTTCTTTTGCTGTACTTTATTCGATTTCCTCTTTTTCTTTTCCTTCTTGGGTTCATGACGACGTTGAATATGTTCTATCAACTTCTTTTTTGTCGTAAGACCTACAGAACATGTGTCACAATAAAATTTTTCGCCAAGATGCTTAATTCTTACATGTTGCTCCAAATTGAACTTGAATAAATAAGTCTTATGACAATTGTCATATGGGCATGACATAACTAATCTATTTTCAGAATGTATTTTGGAGTGTACTTTTAATCTAGATTTACTAAGAAAGATCCTGTCACAATTGTTGCATTTATAATCTGAAATAAAAATCAAAATATATAGATTTTTGTTAAAATCCATTGTTTTACTAAATTATATCTACATTTAATTCATATCTCTGTGTAATATTATTTTTCGTACTTGTTACATGTTTAGCTCTTCTATGTGCACATAGAAGTAGCCATTTATCAAACACCTCCGAGCATTCAGATACTGGACAGGGATAACGTTTGGGACCCTTTTCATGTATCTTTCCATGTCGTTTAAATTTATTGACATTTGTGAAACTTTTGGCACATTTATCGCACTTATAAGTCATAGGTCCAAAATGTATAGTTTGATGTTCAGCTAATTGATGCTTCTTACTAAAACTTTCGCCACATTCCTTGCAGGAAATTTTTTTATCTTTGCCATGCATCTTCTTGTAATGACGTTTCAAATTTTGAAGATTACTAATTGACATTGGACACTGTGGACATCTAATTTAATAGAACAACATGTTAAGAGCATTTATAGGAATAAAATATAGATGTAATTTATAAGCATAAATATAAATTAAATCATAATACATATTGATATATATATATATACTTACTGATATACTTTCTTCACGTCATTATGCGTTTCCAAGTGTCTTTTTAAATGGGTAGAATTGGTATACGACTTTGTACACTCTGGATGATCACATTTATAAGGTCTCTATTAAATAAAATATAATTAGTCATAAAACATTACTATTGTGTATTTAATTATTTCGATTTAACATTTATATAATCATTACCTCTCCAGTATGGGTTCTTATGTGTCTTTGCAATCTAGAAGGTCGTAAGAATACAGCATGACATTCAGCGTAAGTACACTTGTACTTCTTCTTGTCCTGTTTGTTTTCAATGTGAATATCATATTTATTCTGAAGGTCAGATGCAACACTATCACTATCCTGATCTCCTGTATGACCCATTTTAATGTTTTGTATTTCCCTTAAATAGTATTCTTTACACTGAAACAGTTTAGATATGACATTATCTATAACATTATCACATGTGCAGACATATAAGTTGTCAAAAAATTTTTATAAATTCCAAAAATTATCTAAAATTTTTCAAATTGTAGAAATAGTTTTAATAACCAGATACAATCAATCTGTCAACTTTATTACATTTTGCATAAAATGAAAATAATTTTAAGCATACTTATTTAAATATTCCATGTGTATGTGTATAAGGTTATCTTTGACAATTATGTAGAAGAGGTATTTCCTCACATAATCTCGACAAAGTTTAATCTACATATATTTTCTTAATATACAAAACAAGAGAATATAATAATAAAAAATATTCTTATTATATTTCTAATTATTTACCTAATTAATAAAACCTATTGATAAAAAAGAAGAATAAAAATGATACAAGGTTAGACGAACTATCGAAATACCACGACCACGTGGTATTCTCACTATTGAATCAGTTTGCGCATGCGCACTTTACATAATTAAACGCTATAAGCGCGTACGCCATTTATTGTGTTGTGCGTGTGTATGTGTATGTGTATGTGTATTTGTAATCATTAGCAGGATATATAAACAGTACAACAAATCAAATGGTATCATTAAATTGTACAGATCAACGATAGTTAATCGCAATTAGATGATATCAAAGTTAATGTCAAAGTTTTAGAAAAAGTTAAATCATAAGTTTCGCAATTTTATAAAAAATAATTTATTTGTCCAAGTTGTGTTATTTATATTAATAGTATATTTCCTCAAAAGATGTGACACGCGATTCTCGACGTACATGTAGTTTCTATTAAAGTATTGGTAATTATATCCTCACATGAGTTTTATATCTCGATAGCTGAGATTTGAGGATTATTTTGTGTACGTTATGGTGGAGAGAAGAGTGGATGTCGCGCGCAACAAGAGAGAAAGAGAGAGAGAGAGAGAGAGAGAGAGCCAGCTATTTTACCCCACCATATCTCGAGAATATTGAGAATCACGTGATCAACCAGGAGAACCCGCGTTGTCCGCCGAAAATCTAAATCCGTCCCAGCCGGGGAAGAAGAGAAGAGACACCCGTCTCTCGGCCCGTGTAACGCGAAAGCCGCGCCGAGTATAGTCCATAATCGCTCGTGATTCGGGCTAGATCGCGATCCCAAAAGAAGCCAAGCGCGAGTGCGAGATCCGCGCCCAAAAAATTTCCTTCGCGACCCACACTCGCGGGGGAGATCACCCGCGTCTTTCTTTTCGGCTCCCCGGGAAGGCAGCGGCGACGATTCGTCGCGAAGTCGCTCTTGACGAATATGATCCGCGTGGACGAGTCGGATCCAGTGGGAGGTAAGAGAATGAGGAAACGAGACGAAATTTCCGTCGCAAAAAGATTTCGAGGACTCGGTTTCGCTCGACAGACATACGGGAGAAGCGCGTCTTGTTTGTATGGAGAACAGGAAG